AAGCTGCCCTTGGTCGTTGTAACGAATTTTATGTACTATTGTGGTAATAACGATATCCAGCGTGTCGTGCACTGGTGTTTTTTGTTCCCTACACAGTCTGAAAATGGATTAGGTACCTCATCGTGGTGTGGGGAACCAGATTATGGATACTAAGAATGCACTAATCGCATCTCGGAATAGCTGAAGCCTTGATAGATGCTTTTGTTGAGGGTGTCATTGAGCTGGTAATCTCTTTAGGAGACGAAACGGATTTCATGATTGCCCTCAAGTTGACCACTTGGCAATGGACCACTGGTCAAAATAACCGGAAAAATAGTCATTTGCGAAGTTGATGACTATACTATGAAATAGAATGAAGCATGCTAAATGTAATTAAGTCAAATTGTTGATGGGGAATGACCAACACTTGCATGTGTATGTGAGATGTTGAATGAGAGGAGTGAGAATTGGATTTTTTGAAGGAATTTGTTGAGAATAGAGGTAATGATTAATCCGTAGTCGTTGTGACTAGTAGTGACCAATGGTAGAAGGACACAAGAAGGAAGTGGTTGGGGAAGAGAAAAGATAGTTATACAGGTGAAACACAGCGAACTCGAGTTCCCAACGTAGATTGTTGCTTCGAATATCCGTCACATCTTGGCTATCATTGATGAATATTTAGATCTATTATTCTGATCTCTGATATTCGTTTATCCTGTGCCGACTATATGCATTTGTTTGAAAAAAGCTGGCGACATGACCACTTTTTATCACTCTGAAAATTCTTCGGTTACTGTTTCAAATTTTAGTGGATAACTCATAGAGAACCCTGATGCAAACTTCGTGATGACTGATAGTAATGGCGGTCGTTAACGGTATTGTTGATGATGATGGTGATGACGACAATGATATTAATAAATTCCAGTGGAATTATTTGGCCATTCTTGCTACTGTCTTTGTTTTCGTTTACATGGTTCGTCTCATATTATAATTCGGAAAAAAAAATAATGCCCTTCAGTCCGATTCTAATACGATTTATTCTTTAAAGAATGAAAATAAAAAGTCAGTTCTGAATAATCCGGAACTCGAACTTTAAAAAAAATAGGAACTTAAAAAACTTTATCTTAACAAAAACCTAAAATTGAGGAGAACGAAAAATCGCCATAAAATCGAAGCTTCGTAACGATTAGTACCACCAATCTTGATGATCATAATATTAAACAATATTAAACTTTCTGTTTTTCTCAGAATATTTAACAGAAACTGCCGTTGCTTTTAGAAATTAATAATTATTAGCTCATATCAATACCAAGAATACTAAGACCGCTTGGA